AATGAACAAATAAATGCTGTACTTTTAAACATTGTACTCATCAGAGAATCCTGGGGAAAAATGTGGCACGTTTGACAAAAAATATAAAGCAACGCAACTGTTTTCAATTGATAAATGTTTCTTGAGCAGCAAATCAACATATTAAATGCAAAGGATCATGTGACACTGAAGACTCAAATAATAGCTGCTGAAAACTCAGTTTTGCATCACAGGAGTAAATTGCATTTTAAAGGTCCCCTGAAATGCTTAGAAGCACGCAGCGTTACTCTGTGTTGACATCATTTTAACAAACAAAGACAGGGCGGGACATATCAAGCAGCCCCGCCCCTTTTTAAAATAGCCAATAGTGTTTGTTTATATCACAGCTTGGGCTAGAGCCGTTCAGAGCCTTGAGCTCCGTAAAGCCACATTTGACAGGGTATGCCAGCCACAATCTCATCCATATTGCTATAAAATATAGCATTCTGTGTAGAATTCAAATAGCTCCGATACATTTTGTGGTCTGTGCCGACTCGCGCATGTGATCCGCTCCATGCTATCATGTCTCTGGACCAGAGCAGAGTGTGTGTGGTGTGGTGGTTAGCGTGACACAGCGCGAAACCAGACTTATTTTTTATGGGAAACACTGTAGTCTCATAATTTAAGATTTAAATTCTGCAGATTACATCATTGTCCAGTATTGTACTGTCAGCAATTTATTATAAAAACGTTTTCATAATTGTAACAGGGATCCCCCGAATTTGGTGGAGATCCGCCGGCGCGTTCGCGAGATAGTGACACCAGTCAACTCTTTCACTTCAGTAAGGAGTTCTCTTGTTCAGGCAGCAGCATTCGAACGTTGTCTTATTCGACAGTAAGTGCCCCGCGAAGTGGACTTCACATGATATTCCGCCATGATTCCAGTTCCAAGGGAACGTACACGTTGCATTCAAAGGGCAGTAAAGTGCGCGAGACGTGAATTTATATTTATTTACAGAGGTAATTAAATTGTCACACTTCACACTTCTCTAGTAATTTCCGTCTGTGTGTGAAGACAGTAGAGCAAATCCGTGAATGAATGTTCCGAAGTAAAATAAACTTCAATGGAATAAAGTTGAATGGAATTGAATTGAATTAAAGTTGAATAAACTTCAACTGTACTGTTCAGTGCACTGATGTCAGACTCATTTTGAATAAAGTTTGTTAAATTGTTAAATGCCCTGCCTCCATCATTACATATCTTTGCCACGTCATTATAAGTGTTTGATCACCACATTTGAGTGATCATTGCAAAAAATGTGTTTGTATATATATATTCTGTTTATGTATATACTGTATTCTATATATAGTACCAATCAAATGTTTGGACACACGAATGGGAAAGTGTCCGAACTTTTGACTGGTACTTAGTGTTGCTTTCGTCAATGAAAATTGTGACTAAATATCGTCGTCAACGAACCTTTATCACGTGACAAAAACGAGACGAGACGCAATGTAAATGCTGGTCATGTGACGATGACTATAATTAAATGTGTAATGCAATATTGACGAATAAAAACGAGACACAATGTGGTTTAAAAAATAAAAACTATGCTAAAATGTCTCTTCATTTTCGTTGACCAAAACGAGATGAAACTAAATGTTATAACGTTATTTCATCTCGTTTAGTCGCGTTATTATTATTATTTTGCAGTATTTCTGTTTCCTGTGTCTCACTTCAGGGGCTGCATCAGGTCGCACTGCGCAGGCGACATCACTTCCTCAAGCCCCACTCACGGCATTATTTAGAACAGTGCTTCCCAACCGGGGTGCCGTGTAAAAACAATAATGTTTTTATATTTTTAAATTAAATTAATTAAAAAAGCAGCTATTATATAATATCCATTTCTAATGTCGCCAATAATTAGAGATGCACTGAAATTTCAGCTGCCGAAAATTAGTTCACCGCTCAGGATTCACTTTCACGTGGTGTGACGCTCTGCGTATTATCCCGCTCTATGCGTGTGTGCTCTGCTCAGTCGCTCACGGCCCATGTGAGTGCTCCACTC